GAGAATCTTTGTCTTCTTGATGTTGAGCTTCAATCCATACTGAAGACTGCAGTCCTTGACGTTCTGCAGCAAGCGCTTCAGGTCCTCCTCAGTTTCAGCAAGCAGGGTTGTGTCATCTGCATAATACAGGTTGTTGACATTCTTCCACCAATCCTGATGCCACATTCCTCCTCATACAGCCCAAAGTCCAGGATGATCTGTTCTGCATACAGATTGAAAAGGTATGAAGACAAAATACATCCCAGCCGGACCCCTTCTTGATTTTGAACCATGTAGTGTCTCCTTGCTCTGTTCTGACCACTGCCTCTTGGTCCAAGTATAGGTTTTGCATTAACACAATCAAATGTTCTGGGATTCCCATTCTTCTCACAGTCAACCATAGCTTGTTGTGGTCCACACAATCAAATGTCTTTGCATAGTCAATGAAACAGAGATAGACATTTTTCTGGTGTTCTCTGCTTTCTGTCAAGATCCATCTAACATTAGCTATAATATCCCTAGTACCAAGGAAGACCTCTTCTAAATCCAGCCTGCACTTCTGGCAGTTCTCTGTTGACAGTTCCAAACATTTTTTGATAATTTTCAGCAGAATCTTGCTTGCATGAGTAGATTTTCAAAAGTTGCTGATCCTCCTTTGAGCGTAAAAAAGTATTTCGGAAAATGAATTACTGATTTTCAATGCTTGTGATAGTGGCCTTTAGAACTTTAGTTTATAGTGCTTTCAAATGTATTTAATGAAACATTAAAATAATTTATGACAAAAAGTATTGTTGCTATGTTCTGTTGAATCACCTGTAACTCGTAGTGACCCTATGCACAATAGCTCTGGATTCTGAGCCAATCTCATGACACACCTATCTCCATTACCCTAGTCACTGTGTCAATCCACCTCATCTAGGGGCTTCCTCTCCTGAGCTGTCTCTCAATTCTTCCATGTGTGATATCCCTCTTGAAGGACTTGCCCCTGGCAACATGCTCAAAATATGTCAGATGGAGATTCAAAATCCTTGTCCCCAAGGAGCAACTTGGTTTCACCCTTTCTAGGACAGACTTGTTTGTCTTCTTAGCAGTCCATGGTATGTCCAATACTCTTCCCCAGAACCATAATTTAAAGTCATCAATCATTCTGTCATCCTTAGCCTCAGATGTGTAGCATATAACTGTGAAGACCATGGCCTGGATCAAGTGCACATAGTCTATAGATTGACATCTTTGCTCTTCAGCACTCTGGAGAGGTCCCTGACAGTTGATTTTCCCATTGCAATTTGTCTTCTGATTTCCTGACTGCTGGTGCCCAGAGGGTTGATGATGGTGGACATGAACAAACTGAAATTGTTAACAACTTCAATCACTTCTCCATCTATCAAGGTGCTGCCAATTGTCACAGTGGTGAGAAGCTTTGTTTTCTTGATGTTGAGCTTCAATCCATATTGAAGACTGCAGTCCTTGACCTTCTGCAGCCAATGCCTGAGGTCCTCCTCCTCCGTTTTAGCAAACAAAGTTATGTCATCTGTGTAGTGCAGGTTGTTTATAAGTCTTCCTCCAATCCTAATGCTATATTCCTCCTCATAAATTCTTGTTTCCTGAATGATTTGTTCCGCATATAGATTGAAATAGTATGGAGACAGGACACATCCCTGATGCACTTCTTGACTGATTTGAAACCATGCAATGGTTCCTTGCTCTGTTCTGATGACCACTTCCTGGTTCAAGTAATATGTTTCATACAAGCACAATCAAACGTTCTGGGATTCTCATTCATCTCAGAGTCAGCCACAGTTTGTTGTGATCCACACAGTCAAATGCCTTTGCATAGTCAATGAAACACAGATAGACATTCTTCTGATGACCCAGCTTGCATTTCTAATACTTCTCTGTTGATGTTCTATTCCAGTAGATTTTAGATATTTTTCAGTAGGATTTTGCCTGTGTGGCTCTCGTCCTTGGCCCTGGTAAGTAGAAGAACCTCGCTTCTTAGTCATTGGCTGCTGTAGGGTTGACTGAGGGTGTGGGCAGAGCCACAGAACAGGAAAATGTAGAAGGTGGAGGTGCTGCCGAGGAAACAAGAGGTACGCGGCTTGCTGTTGTTCTTAGGTGCTGTTGAGTCAGCTCCAGTTAATAGAAATCTTAAGTACAACAGAAGGAAACGCTGTCCTGTCCTGTGCCGTCCCTACGATCTTTGTTATGATTAAACCAAGCATTATAGTCACTGTGTCAATCCATCTCATGAAGGGTTTTCCTCTGCCTCTCCGAGCCTTTACTTTTCCAGGCATGAAGTCCTTTTCTAGAAACTGGCCCCTCATTAAATCATACTCAAAATATCTGACTCAAATTCTCTTTCTTTGCTTCTAAGAAGCACTGTGGTTGTACTTCTTTTAAGACAGATGCTTTTGGAAGTTTGTGCTATATTCAATATTTTTTTCCAACTCCACAATCAAAAGGGATCAATATTTCAGTCTTCCTTCTGCATTTTCTAATATTCACAAACATAGAAAGCAATTGAAAATGCTATATTTGATTGCTGTACATAGGGTTTTCAAAGACCAATTATATTTCAGAGGTGAATGACCTACCTTTCACTTACTTTTTTTTGGATGGCCTTACTTACTTTGGGCAAGTGGCCAGGAGAGATTTGTCCTTGGAGAAGGACATCATGCTTGGAAGGGTGGATGGGTAAAACAGGAGTGTGAGACCCGGATGAGATGGATTGACGCAGTGACTAGGGCAATAGGGGCTAGTGTGTCAGAATTCATGAGACTGGCTCAGGACAGGGAAGGGTTCAAAACTTCTGTACCTAGGGGTCGCTATACAACACAGACCACTCAATGGCACATAACCACAATAGCATACTATGCCAGGTTTGGAAGTAGGAGTGGCACCCACTTCCTAAACAGCATGCCTCCAGAAACTTGATGACCTTTGATAAATGTCTATGGTTGTAGAGGAGCTTCAGACCTTTTGTTTATGGGGTCGCTATGAGTCGTACTCAACTTGAAGGCAAAC